CCACAGATTTTCTGAGCTGGTGTTGACCTTTTGATGTTTGAGCTTGTGTGGAAGAAGCCACACATTGTCCTCAGGGTGTGGCAGCCAGAGCGCTGTCGGCGATTCTGTGAGGAGGCTTGGAATGTGCGATATCAGTGTTTGGTATTGGGTACGGTACTCAGTGTGTTTTATTGGCTGGAACACGAAGTTGCGAGGATCCTTTCACTCAATGACCCTTCAAAGATCCTTGGAGTTTGCATACCAGTCCATTTGTGCCGGGTCCTCTTGTGGCATAGAATGCATACAGGTTGCCAGATCCCTAAAATGTGTTAAACGATTAAACGACAAGAGATGATAGCACGAACTCTGACCCAGCACTTGAATTGATTTGGGGGATGGGTTAAAACCTTGAATGCCATGATTTGGAGGGATGAACACAATGAACATCCATTTATGACCTATTTTTGATGTTCACCAGGGTAGCAGGGTTTTGACCGGCCAAGCCGTTTGAATCGTTCTTGCTTTTCTGGAAGGACATCAGGACAACCGGTTACGACCCCGCCTTTCCCAATGCTTCGGGATTCCCAATCGTTTCCAGGTGAAACCCCAGTGGTTTGTTTTTGAAGGATCTGCAGGGTACCATAGATTTGCTGGCACCAAATATATCCAAATTTAATGGCGGTTAATGATGGTTAATGATGGTTAATGATGGTTAATGATGATTAATGGTGATTAATGGTTTCACCAGTTGGTTTTTCTTTCAACCAGCTCTACTGTTTGGAAAAAAAATGCTCTGTTGTTGATGAAAGTCTGACAGGCTTCACAAGCCTCCAACTGCGTGCCGGCCCTTCTCGTCTCTGGGCTGGAAGAGACGTCTACCCCAGAGGTGCAGATTTTTTTTGATGAACTGAAGGGTGATGAAGTGGATGGAACGGTGACTTCATGGGGTACATAACTCAACAGTTCATGAAAGCAACTGTTCGTAAGCCCCAAAAAAGATAAAAAAAAGAACAGAAGAGCCATTGTGATGTATATATATATACATATACAATACATATACATATATATATATATATCTACATAATTATATACATTACATATATAATACCCTCAGGCCGCCTGGTTCGCCGTCGCTTGACATGCATCTATTTTGTGTTCGGGTGGGGGGTGGGGGGTGGGGGTGGGGGGGTGGGGGGTGGGGGGGTTGGGGTGGGGGGGGGGTTTGGGGGGTGGGGTGGGGGGGGGTGTAATAACGTCCTGTCGCGCGTGTTTTGTTGGCTGTAAATATGACGTTATCGCTTTGTTTTCAGGGTGGAAATGTTACGTTATCGTTTTGTTTTCAATCAACAACCATTAGAAGAACTGGATGAACTCAAGAACAACATTGAATATGGTTGTAGTGATCCCAGAATGCATCCTCTTCATCAAGATAGATCTGAACATGCCTCAAAAGAAGCAGAACGAAGGATCGATGATGATTTTGGAAATTTGACAGCGTTGCTTCAATCTTATGTTGAGGAACATCAGGTCTTGCCTTACTGTATGATCTTGCATAGCTTGGCTTACAGATATTTAGGTGGAGGCCTACTAGGCCCCACACATAAAGATGAAGAATTTCCACACAGATCCTCTCCACAGATTACGATGATGTTTTGGAACTTGGGAAACTGGTGCAGAAGTAAATTTGAAAAATGCCCAGTTCCAGAAAGATTTCAACAACTCATTCCACACATCGACTATAGCCTTGATGAAGATCACAACAAGTTCGATGAGAACAAGACTCAGTTCAACAACTACTTCATCAATGTTATCAAAAACTTTGGAGGACATCTCTTCATGAATTGTGAAGCTGGTTCACTTTATCCTCACAGAGCTCGTCTCGAAGAGGTACAGATGCAAACTTGCTTCGATGACTATCATGATTTGATGGTTGCTGCTCGCATAGGAAAGGATGGCTATATCAGGCAAATTGCGGGATATTGCACAGATGAAAACGACACACGGGTTCGACAAGTCTCATGGGCAATCTTTGAAGTATCTTGGGGAAAGACAAAAGACCGTTATACAGAGGAGATTGTTGACTTGACAAGAGCCAGGATGAAGATGACACGTGTGTGTGTTTTTCACGTTGGACAGAAGTACGCATCAGACTCACCTGGTAGGTATTGTTGGTGAATGCATAGCCATCATGGCTTGGGAGTGTGCCAGATATCAAGTGGATGTCATTGCAGGTGATGGAAACAAGGCATGCTACTACACTACACCAAAATCTCCAGGTGTCCCCACATATCAACATAGCCTATTACAATACTGGATTAACAGAATGATGGGTGTTGCAACACAAGCCATGCGCAAGAACCATGATCGAACTTGCCCTCCAATCAGGGTCAAACATTTCATTTCTTGCAGCTATCGGGATCTTGATTTTCTTGCAACTCATTTGGATGGCATTACAACAGCTACATACACCGAAGAGCATATGAAGAAGACAGATGGCAAAGGTGATTGTTGTATGCTTTCAGTTGTTGAGTGGGGTCATTCACGTGATGCATCCACTATGTTAACCTGGCATATTCCTGTGGCTTTACCCACTGTATAGGTTTTTGAAATATAGGCATTTGCCCGAGTCCTTCATTGTGTGGGAGCTTCTCTCCCATCCTGCTGTGCCGTGCAGCCGTGGTCCAAACCAGCAAAGCATTGTAGTGACGGGAGCCATGCAAACACCGCCGAGCAAGAAGGCACGACGGGAAGCATCTTTGGCACTCTCTTCCGAGAAGGCTCGCAGTGCCAAAAATGCAATGTTGAATAAGTTTACGTTCTGCAAACATGGCTAGTGGTGTTGCCAGAGGGGCCTTCCGGCGTTTTTGTTTGTGCATTGCACAACTCCACCTATCCATGGACTTTCTTCTGAAATTTCAGTACAGACAGGCTGGTAGCCCTGCTTATACGTATACAATTTTTTACAATAACATTCAAAGTTCTATGTCTACAATGATCTGTGGCCAGGAGTCAAGAAGCAATTCCCTTTGAGCGCGGTGTTCCGGGCAGAGGTAATCGACAAGGGCTTACTAAAGTCCAACCAGTCGAGAAGTTGTGGCACAGCGCAGTTTCTGGGAAAAGAGGCAAGAGATTTGTGAAAGGTCCAGCAGACGTTTGGAAGAAACCGAAGGCATGAGAAGACGAGGAAAAAACATGATGCTGATGTTATCTCAGCAGCGTGCCGCTGGGAAGTGGGTGACAGAGTTGATGTGTATGGATTAGAACCCATACTAGAAACCATAGAAGTATCCAATTTTGCAAGGTTAAACAGATACATAAACTTGGTGAGCCATGCGGGAGATTGTTTGAAAGGGGCATGTGTTTTTGTGTGTTTTCTTAAAGGTCTGAATAAGACGCATAGTAAATAGATAATTTCAATCACTCGGGGTACTAACATAGCATCCCCGAACCTATGTCTTCCAAAACCTTCAGTGGTATTGGACATCATAGTAGCAAATACTCAGACTGGCAACATCGACAGAGAGTTGTAATAATTTAATCGTATAATTATAAACTTTAATAATTTAGGGGGATATTAAAACCACCATTGGGAGGGAGCGAACCGCTCAGTGCCTAGCAACTATAAAGCACACCTCCCTTTGGTGGTATATTAGGGGGATAGACCTAAGGGTATAATTTGCCGGTATTATAATGGCTGGGGACATCGCCCGTAAATTTGCCCAAACAACCCTCCCCCAAACACGGGACAACAAACGCTGGTTGATATATTGTTGATATACCATATATTGTTGAAGACAAACTCTCACCATCAACACCCTGACCCCCCGATGGTGAGAGATTGGTTTGGGGAATGTGTTGAAACAGGCTCAAGCGGCATAAAATCTACGAGACGCTGAAATAAAATCTACAAGATGCTGTTCCGGGTCGGCTGGAAGTCCCCAAGGGCAAGCCTAACATGGCACCCAGGGGTACTTTCATTCTGGATTGATTGAATGGTGTGGTTTGATCTGGTCGGCTGGAGACTCAAAAGAGACAACCTAACATAGCAACCAGGGGTACTTTCATTCTGGATTGGCTTGGCCGTCTCTAAAATGCCTCGATGAGGAGGAAGGCGGGAAAGGAGGAAAGGAGGAAAGGAGGAAAGGAGGAAAGGAGGAAAGGAGGAAAGGAGGAAAGGAGGAAAGGAGGAAAGAAGGAAAGGAGGAAAGGAGGAAAGGAGGAAAAGGAGGAAAGGAGGAAGAAAAGGAGGAAAAGTAGGAGGAAAGGAAAGGAGGAAAGGAGGAAAGGAGGAAAGGAGGAAAGGAGGAAAGGAGGAAAGGAGGAAAGGAGGAAAGGCGGGAAAGGAGGAAAGGAGGAAAGGAGGAAAGGAGGAAAGGAGGAAAGGAGGAAGGAAGGGAGGAAGGGAGGAAGGGATGGAGGAAGGGAGGCAGGGAGGAAGGGAGGAAGGGAGAAAGAAAGGAAGGAAGAAACAAACAGAAGCAATGCAGAAGAAACTAAAAGCATAAGAAGATGACATGAAAAAAATCGATCTGATCAGCGGTGTGCCATGGGGAAGTGGATGACAGGGTTGATTGGCATGAAGTAGAATTTTTTGGCATGAAGAATCCATAGGAATACAACGTCGATCACCTCCAAGTTTGTATGTTGGAGATACCATGAAACTCGGTGTGCCATGCGGAAGATGGTAGTTCTGACTGTTCAAACAGACATATGGCTGTCAACTTTTGGCTAACAATTGTACATTAAACGCATAGTAAATAGATGTATTTGAGTTGCCTGCTTCAGAATTAGTCCACTTTGACCGTCGGTGTGCCAATAGGAATTCCACATGGCGGAAGATTATTGATGTCTGGCGTAAGCGGTGTGCCATGCGGCTGGCGCAAGTTCTAGTAAATGGCGTAGGATCACGCCAGAACTCGTAGATACTCTTGTACAAAGAGATACTATAACTATTTATCTCCATGATATTTCCGTGAGCAGACAACTCCGAATGGAGCGAATTTCAAAAATTTACCAACTTCAATTTTTGTCCATTGTTCGCTTGAATGAGCAACTTTGGAGATCCGCTATTTCCGTTTATGTCGTGATTTGGTCAATTGTTTTTTCGTCTGACCTGAATTTCTGAATCTTGCGAATCCGAACTTTTCAATTCGAATCTTCACCGGTAGAGCGAGGCATTTTGCCTGGCGACCGTGCATGGCGCACAATCGGTCACTACTGGAAAAATTAGCGAATCCGCTGTCTCTTTTTCGGCATGTCCTTAGGACATTCGCTGCTTTCACGTGTTTTTCATGTCGAAGCCACTGCGTAACTCCGGTTTATTGTTGCTATTTGCCATTGTGTAGAGAAGACAGGAAGATACTCTTAATACCAATTGGGTACGACAAGGCGTAGTGCTCTACTCATTGCTTTTGAATTTGTGCCTGTGTTTTTGTTTCGACCTAATACCTACAGAGGTACATGCATGAGTATTGAGCACATTTATATGCGCCCTTCAAGGCTCAAGAGGTATATAGAGTAACCCTGTAGACAGAGCACTGACCGGCAATACGCTGAGAGTACAAGGGTGCTGTCATTGGGGAAGACGCTTTAGCTGATCTTGAAGTAGACGCTAGGGCCCCTCTTCAGCCCTCCCCCCAATCCCCCCTCGCGTTTTTTTTTTAATATATTTAGATTTTCAATAGTTTCAATACACTAGTTTCATGAGTTTATATATATATATATACACCCACACATATATATATATATACACACATATAGATGTACATATATATATATATCTTTCTACCCATCTTTCCATCCATCCATCCATCCATGTATCTATCTATCTATCTATCTGTCTATCTATCTATCTATCCATCTATCTATCTATCTCTCTCTCTCTCTATCTCCCTATCTATCTATCCATCCATCTATCTATCCATCCATCCATGTATCTATCTATCCATCTGCCCATCCATCCATGTATCTGTCTATCTTTAAACCGGTGAAGAGCAAGAAAACACCCACAAAACGTTTAAAATTCTGGAAAATGAATGGAAACCAAGGAATACACCGGTTGGCGAAATTTCTACACGTTCACAAGGGGCATGTTCTGCAGTATACGCACATGGAGTACCACATTCAAACTACAGCATTACTTTTGAGAATTAGGTCTTGTCTTTCTGCCCCCAAAGCGCGCCCTCCCCCCAATCCCCCCGCTCCCGCTTCTTTATTTACAACCAAGAGTGACACATCCAAGGCCTTTCAAACTACAGCAATACCCGTGAGAACAGGGCTTGTGTTCCCCCCCTTCCCCATTGTTTGCTTAAAACCAAGCTTGTGCACTTGCAAAACACACTATTTGACATGTGTAGAAATATATGTCTATACAGTTTCACAGATACGCATCCAACACCATGGTGCCTCGACTTACATTCTACATGTTCACAAGGGGCATGTTCTGCAGTATACACACACACACATGGAGTACCACATTCAAGCTACAGCACTATGGATAAACCATTGAAAACATGGAAACTGAACCAAACAATGGAAAATCGATGATGCCATAGAAAATTGAAGAAAAACGTGGCAAAATCGAGGAAGGCCACGGAAAATCGAAGCACAACCGTGGAAAAATCGATGAACCGGATAGAAAACCGAAGAAAACACGTGGACAAATTGATGAACGCCATGGAAAATTGAAGCAAAACCATGAAAACCTGAGGAAAACCATAGAAAATGGTTAGGGGAACAATGAGTTTGGCCGGATTTTTTTTGATTGTAACAATATTTTTTTTGATACGCTTGCCAGGCCCGGCGCTTGCTTGGCGCAGCCGACGACGCAAGCGGCTGCCTCAGACCAAGTGAAGTGCAGAAATATGTTGTTGCAATGATTGCTCGAGGGGATGGATATGGGTTAGGACAACTCGTTTTGAAGCCAGGGTTTTTCACGCATGTTGCTTTGTTGCATCGCTTGTTGGTGCAGAACGTTTTTTTGACCAAACATGATTATGGGTCAGTTTTCTGATAAAGAGATGAAGAAAAACACAAATCGTGGCGCGATGCTGAGCGCCATGCGCTACGCCCTGGTGGTGGGAGGATGTATCCTCCCACCACCAGAGGTAAAGGCGTGGCAGGCCGGGGCAGATGCAAATACCTGATTCTGCGATTCTCCCAAGGTTCAAAGGTGGACATCGCCAGAATCAGGTATTTGGAAGTCTGGCAGTTTCAGGGTTGTTGTTGAATCCTCTACTTGAACCTAATAGACTTCTTCTATAAATCCATATTTTTCAACTCCCGCAAGGGGTCTCGAACAAAAAACAGCAGGGGATTCTCATCAAAACCTCAGAAATTTCTTGGGGAGGTTTATGGTGTGGTGAGACCCACAATGGTTCTGATTTCAGAGGTTCCTCCATCTGCAAAACCAAAAATGCCTTTCCAGCCGACGGCGAACCAGGCGGCCTGATCGTATATATATATATATATATATATATGGTATAAATTGGTATTATATATATATAATACCAATTTATACCATATATATATAATACCAATTTATACCATGTATATGTATATATATATATTTATATATGTATATATATATGTATATATATATATTTAGATATGTATATATATATGTATATATATATATATATGTATATATATATGTATATATATATGTATATATATATGATATATATGATATATATGATATGTATATATATATATGTATATATATGTATATATATATATACATATCATATATATCATATATATCATATATATCATATATATCATATAAATTATATATATATACATATATATACATATATATATATACATATATATATACATATATATACATATATATATATACATATATATATATATATATATATTGTACATTTCACAATACACGCCACTGTTCTCGTGTGATTTTACCAACGGCTGGGATCATCCCAATGGCATCACCACCGGAGGAGCGATGGTCCAGCAGCAGCGTCTTGATGCGATTGCCAGTGCTTTGCAAGTCGCCCGCTTAGAGCCCAGTTGCAACGGGCATCCATAGGCATCCATAGGCATCCATAGGCATCCATAGGCATCATGGCTATCTACAAACAAAGGGTAAAGTGAATTTCTAAGCAGGTCTAACAACATTAACCCTCACTTCCAACTCTTAAAAATTGACTTGGGATGAGACAGTCTTCCATTCTCCACCTGAGTTTTTGGTGTTAAGGTTCTTGGCCTCCCTTCCCCCAGCCATGCTGGGGCACCGTCTTTGCGACTTGGCCTTCTGCAGCTATGCCTGGAGCGAGCCCGCAGCCCTCAACCTGCGAAATTTGACGCTTCCCTCAGTGGCTCTGCCACACCGAGCTCCAGCTCAGCGCATCGTTCAGGCGGCCTTGGAGGAGTCGCTGATGGAGGAGCTGTCGATGGAAGAAAAACAGGCAGCCTTTGGGATGAGAAGATCTGCTGGTCGCTGGGCGGAAGTGATTTCCGCCAAGGACTTTCTACGCTTCTTCATCTGTGCACATCTGGCAGCCGAGGGCTTGCAGCTCATGCAGCTGTTTGGAAGCAAAGCGACCTCTGTCGACGCAGAAGTGTGGAAGAGAATCAGTGAGGCCTTTGAAGTGGGAGACGATGGCTTCCAGTGGCTCCAAAGACAAGCTCCCGAATTTTCCAAGCAGGCCAAACTGGCCTTAGGGGAGCTTCAAGAGCCAGACGAAAAGTTGACTTTGCTCCTCAGAAGCAACAAACCCTCCCACTCTCGCGGACCACCTCCGGAGAATACCCAGCCGACGTAGTGGCTGCCCAAACTCAGACGTTTGTGGTGGGAGCAAAAAATAAAGCGACACAGTGTTTGAGTTCCTGAAATTCTGCCTGCCAGAATTAGCCTCTGGTAAATTGTCCCATAACTATGGAAAATTATCATGTTTTTTTCATGGGTAAATCAACTATAAATATGGTCATTTTATGTCATTTTCAGCCAGCATGTTGGTCAGTGGTTTAACAGCCACCACACTGGATCCTCCGCTGGATCCTCGACGCCGCAGGACCACCACTGCCCATGGATCAACAATTGCGTTGGATTCTACAACAGGAAGTTCTTCATTCAGTTATTGTCCTACGTGTACCCCCGGAAAAAAAAACATGCGCTTAAAATTTTCGTCTCAGTCTGCAAGCAGCTCGATTTATGCTGATGAAAATGACGTGAGTCACGTCGCTGATTTATGACATGTCTTTCTTGCCATATAAATAGTGGATTTACCCATTGAAAATGCTGATTTTTCATAGGAAAACCATCGGAAAATGGTCAGCTTTTTTCTCAGCAGATCTCAGCGTTCGCAGGTACCTGAGTCTGATAATAGTAGTGCTCTTCACCATTCCAGAAATGTATTCCCGCTGCCTGGCAGAAGTCGAGATGCTGTCCGAAACGGTTGAAAAAAACGAGTTGATTCACTTAGAGTAATCTTTATAATACACAATCTATATTGATTTATATTGGTCAAGTTGATACATGGCCCATTTTTATTTTATTCATATTTTCGACTCACGTTTGTGTCATTTGTTTGCTGATGTTTGCTGTGATGACACATCAAATGTGATCCAAAAAATCCACTGATCTAAGGAGGAATGGAGTTAACCAGGCCGTAGCCCCAGTCGAATCGGGCTCAAAAATGCCGTTTCGGACCCGCTGAATTGGTCAGTTCTTAAGAACTATTTCAGGATGTGGTCAAAAACAAAGGGCCCAGACCCATATAATGATGTATCATGAATCATGGTGATATCATGATGTATCTAATGATGTATCTAGTGATGTATCTAATGATGTATCTAATGATGTATCTAATGATGTATCTAATGATGTATCTAATGATGTATCTAATGATGTATCATGATTCCATTGAAGTCTTCCTGAAGAAAAAGATCATGAACTCTAATTTTTCTGCCCATGAAGCCATCAAACTCGCCCCCTGGCGGCCAGGGGTCCCAACAAGTACGGCGAGTCAACTTTCTATTGCCTGGAGACAATTTTCCTGACTTTGGCGTCAAGCCGCCTTTGTTGGCAGCACCGACGTCGCCCAAAAACAGACGGACATCTCCGAAGATGTATCGAGATCTTGTGCTAGGCTCACACTTTATGATCAGCCTTCCCATCAAAACATGGCAATTTCTATACAATCATATGTGAATCATATGATTAGAGGGGACATCTCACTTCTGTCCCCTCCTTCATTGAATTTCTATACAAAACATGTCAGAGATCATTCAGTCGCCATCGGTTTCATCCCCTGGGTTCAAGTTGCAGAATCCCAGCAGCCGGAAGATTTCAGCCAGTCCCAGCAAGAAACATTAACAATGGTGATGGAATCAAGGTAAATGGGTTATTATTGGTATATAATCAAGTCAAAATCAATATCAGACCGGGAATCAGTCCCGCTTTTTCAAAAATCTGAACTTTGATGTTTCTTTATGATGGCAATGAACACATACCATGCATTATTATGCGATACACGATGATATACTGTATACTCAGTATTGTACGCTAAGGAATGCAGACAGGCGGACACACATGCACAATATACATACACATATAGTCACACATCATATATTTATATATAGTATTATAGTTATTTATACATATTACACACACATATATAATATATATATATCAGATAGTCATATAGATGATATTACGCATGTTTTGCGATGTCTCTTGTGACTTTCAGACCAACCGCGACCAAGTGCGACTCGCGATGCGCCATGGCCGCCATGACGAACCTTTTGGAGGTCTGCCTGTGGAGCGTGGGTGGCAGGAGGCTCGGGACGGTGGAGTTAAACGACCAAGCTTCGGTGAAGGACGGATGGCTGGGATGGGATGGGAGGCGAAGTGGCCTGGAAAAAGATGAACAAAAACCATGACACAGCTGACACATGGCGCTAAATATGTGGTTTTCCCTAATGTTTGAGATGGTTTTAACGTTGTTTTAACGTTGTTTAACAGGGGTTGAAGGATCCTGAAATTTGGGAGTTTTGTTGTTAACTGATGGGTTTTTTCAGCATCTAACATGGCGGTCACCGTAACAATGGGATCCCATTTAGCTACATTTAGGACATACTAATTTTGCCATAAATGGGAATGGAATACATGCATCAAGCTCAATGCAGTGTTTCAGAACTTCTCATCGAAATCATAGAAGCTGTTAACATTTCCAAGAAGTTGTCCACGTTTCACGGAAGTTGTCCACGTTTCACAAGCCCCCCTTAAAAACATTCGTGTTCAACTGCTGTGGACTGGACAGCTCTCGCTGGAAGCTCTTGACGATACTATCCCAATATGTAATATATAGAGCATTTGCAATCACACACTAATCAATCACACAAAACACATCATATATTAATAGATATCGATATCACATCATATATGCACACACACACACTAATCAGCTGATCAGCGACATAAAAGGATGAGGGGTATCTAAGATCGGCAATGACGGATGGTCTTACCATCTAAGTACCTGATGGGAAGCTGTGGTTAAAAATGGTTAAAATGTTCGAAGTTTTTGTTGGGATGATAGTTATGATTATGATTCATGATAGTTATGATACTTCTGATAGTTGTAATAGTTGCTGGGATTTTTTTTCTTGTCAGGTTGCAAAAGCTGAAGGGAAAGTCGGAAGCCCCAGGACCAAGCCGTTGATCCATGCTGTGCCACGCAGGAGTTGAAATATGCCACGGCCGATCTGCTGGAACTACCGCCCAAGTGCCACCGTTTGCTGTGCGGTGGGGAGATTATGGTCAGCCGCGAGCCCAGAATTTCCTGGGAAAACTCCAGAAGAATTTCTGACAAGACATGAATTGCTCGTAATTCCTCATGCACAGGTGAGTTTTTTTGATGTTTTGGTCAATTTCAGCTTTGCAACATCAATTTGTGAATTCACCTTTGCTCCAGAGCGTCTTGGGATTCAGGTCAGAAGTTGGTGAGTCAGTACAGTGAAGATACGACGCCATTAGAGGCATGGCAATCTTCTGCATGGATTGGCTTGACTGAACTAACGCCAACGAATGTCCAAAGCAAATCCAGGAATTCTCACTACAAGAAGGGACTTCCCACTTATTAGTTTGAATGCCATGGGAAATCCACCATGAAACCCTCCGTTCATCGGATATTTTGCTTTGGGTAAATCCCAAGCTTGTGCTGGGCCAAAAAAAACATGCACCTGTAACAAGGGGAAGAAATATCTTGGGTGTGGCGATGTCTTTAAAGTCATTGCAGACTTGGTCCACCTCGTGATCATCCATCCTTACAGAGGTAGCTAATATAGTTGCATCATATCCCAACAGCAACATGGGGGGGTTACAACATGTTACAACCATGGTTATTGGTTAAAGTTTATTATAGCATGTTCTAGCCATGTGTAAGTAATTAATCCTTAACATATATACCTCAACGGCATGTCGTATTCTGTTCGCCAACCTGCCAGTTCGTCCCACGGGGATCTCTGATCAGGTCATGGTGGTCATCTCTCATGAACTGATTTACAAGCGGATGGGCGATCCCAGTGTTGCCGTCAGGTGCGCGATCCGCGACTCTAAGCTGCCATAAATTGGTCTTGGGATTCACCATGGTTTACGACATGGAACGACCAAAATGATCATTTTAGGAATGGGAGATATGCACAGTTGGTGATGCTATGGCATTTTTATTTACAGTTTTTTTTTCCATTTCCGGCAAATCATGGGACGACTGGGCCATACTCCTACGTGAATCATGGTCAAGTTGGATTAGACACCTAGTCCTTGGCGGATGGTCATTAATCCAATTTCAACCCGCAGAAAACATCATCCATGAAATGGGATGGATGACCATAAGTAATGGATGACCATTAAATCACCTTAGACAATGTAGAATCTTTTCCATGGACATATCCCGAACATACTGAGATCTAGTTGCGAAATCCTGCACCAAACAGATGGTTAGAAAGTTGAAGCCAATGCCAAAATCATGGGATATCCATTGGATAAACATGGATGGCTAAAACATGTTCAAAAGTTGAAACTCCCTATAAAATCCTATATTTGTTTCGTTCTTTTCATGATTTGTTATGGGATTTCCCCTATAAAAACCATGTTTTTTCGCCACAAGTTCCCCTTCACGCACCACGCCAGGCAAGCAGCCCTGAACACTTTGGGCCGTGCCGCAGAGCCTGGCTCCAAGGCCCAAAATAGTTTTAAAGTGAGCTATATGCTGATTCAAAATTCCAAACGTGGAGTATGTATATACGTATTATATATATATATTATTGTGGCAATTATATATATATATATATATTATACTGTTATATGTTATTTTTATGTCGATTTTGAAATCATCATGTGTGTGCCTGCATGTGTGTTGTGTTTTTTTTTCGTGTTGTGTTATATTTATGTGAGTTCGCATGATTTCACCCACAAAAGAGAGTCATTCGACCCAGAATAGAGTGAGAACCATATCAATTCAACATACATTTGGTTGGTGTGACCATATAATAATATAAGTTATTTTGGTTCAATATTATTTTAACATACCAGTTTTTGATTCCGAAAAACAGTTGGTTGGTGACTCAGAGTGTGAATTTCCTCCAGATTTTCCCCCCAATTTCCTGACTGAGAAGGCTGCCATCGAAGCTGTTTGCGGATGCTTGAAGGACTGTGAGGGAGAGGTGACTTTGTGGCAGCTTCAGATGAGTCAAGTCATTGAGTCAAGTGACCCAGAGGACTATTTATTCATTCATGCCAACCACAGTCATTATTGCTCCGTTATGTTTTATTTGAGATCATTTAAGCAGTTGAATCCCGAAAGTCGCCTACGGCCTTCCCCTGGCCTTCAATTTCCCTGCTGATATCTTGGTGTTTGAGGTTCGGCGGATTGCGCTCAAAACTCTCTCTTGCATTTCAGAAGAAGGCAATGCGCAGGCGGAAATGTTTGCTGATATGTTCTGCTACGGTGAGAAATGTTCTTTCTTAACCCAAAAGAACGAAACTCAATTTTAGGGAAGTATGGTTGATGAATGTTGATGATAACCTCACATGAGAAACTTGGTATGGTTTAAGGCCAGCTTACCACATTGCTGGATCGATCTGGATCGTTCCAGATTGTAATAGACATTGCTTATGATGTCATCTCTTGATAGTCTCCTTGCCATATATTATAATATTAGATTTTTAAAAATATCAACAGTAAAAAAAATACTTAAAGAAAAAATGCCTATATATATATAGTAAGACTAAATAAGATGACTAAATTTGACTGTGGATGTCGTATTATGACAGATGTTATAACCCTGAACGGAAGAAACCAACCTAATTGGAACTACTTGCTCAAAACCTTTGTGAATGTGTGTGGCAAGTGCTACAGGAAGCAAATAAAATTCCAATATATGGAAAACAAACTTATGGAAATGGAAAAGCAACGAATGGAAATGTTTATGGAAAATGAGGATGAAGAACACGACACATACTTTGACCTGACAGAGTTGAAGGAACATCTCAAAACCCTCCCACCCAATGAAAGACACAAAGTGAAGGATTTTGAGAGGTTAAGAAACCTCGCCAATGGACAAGACCCCAATGAAGGAATGAGTGAAATTGATATGGTTATAAAGGAACTGGAAGAGGAGGAAAGGGAAAACAAAAACCAACCCGAACCCGAAAACTGAACGAGCCCCCAAAAACTACTTAAAGAAAAAATGACTATATATAGTAAGAGGATGCTATTTACTTATAAAAACTGCAGATGTTGTAAGAAAGAAATGACTGACATTAAGGTTTTGTTGAACAACATTTTTCCGGCTGGAATTTGTGATGAGATATGTAGTTATAACCTTCACTGTTCAAAATGTAAAGACTTGAGAGAAAAGGAGTATAGATATATAACATACAATCAAGACTACTTTGAAGATAAAAAATCAATTCAGTAGCAGAAAAACACATATATGTCTTTAAAACAAGGATGGAAGCATCGCCAATAGATTTGTCTGATAATGTGAATGACCGACAAATGAGAAGAGAAATAAACATATTGATGAAAAGTCCTACACTGAAGAAAGGCATATTTCTTCAAGCGACTAAATCTTATGTAAAGAAAAACTTAGGACATACATATCAAATGCTTGAAGACCTTCACAATATAAAAGCAATAAAGATTTCTTGGATGTTTCCTAGCTTAAACCGTTATTATGAATTTAGAAATATAGATTTCAGATTAAAAGACCTATTCAAGCTTTTCTTGCGTGAATATACTAAAGAATTATTCAAACACTATGAGCATTACATTAATCAAGATGAAATAAAAGAACACCTACAAAAAGTGATAGATACTTAAAGAAAAAATACATAATTATATATAGTAAGTGAAAAATGCCAATGATTGGAGTTAGTGAAGAGGAACTAAAAAGATATAGAGAAAGATTAATGAATTTCATAAAAGAAAATCCTTATCCTGATTATAACTTTATAGAATATGACCTACTACTTAAGCAAAAACAATCTTTAGAGCAATACGCAGACTATGGAGAGATAAACCACGACCTTATGAAAGAAATTTATGAAAACATATTTGATAAAGATTTAACCAAAAAACACGGTGAGAGGATACACCATAGAGGAGGAATGACAGCATTACAACAAAACTATTATATATACACTATTGTCAGTGTTGGGATACTTGATTGACCAACGAGGACTTGATAGAGACACAATCATTTTGGTGTTCTACAACATCAAAACGATTGTTTCTCAATGTTAGGATGGAATAGGTAGTGGTGATGAAAAGTGGAGACACTAAACCTAACGATTAGTTCATAATATCTTAATAAAATATATTATGATGTAATCCACCCTAAAACCCCCTTAAAGACATAACCCCTTAAAATTGTAGAGGTATAATGACTGACAAAAAGCAGTGTTCTAAATGTAAAGTCTTTCAACCGTTAGACTACTACAAAAATGAATGTAAGCAGTGTAATAAACGTTTAGAAAACAAACGCAGATACAGGGAACAGCACAAAGAAACTTTAAAACAATATGCTCAACAATACTACGAAAGGAAAAAGGAAGAATTAAGTGATAAAAAGAAAGAAACGTTGGAATGTCCAATTTGTAAATGTGAAGTAAGAAAATATACAATGAAACGACACGAAGAAAGCATCAAGCATCAAATGAACATTAATGGACACTATCTCATACAGTAAAACCACAACAACCTCAACATACCCTACCCTCATCCAAACCAAACATTAATCAAACAACTCCGACGAAACATTTAACAGGATTAACAGAAAGAAACAGTCAAACATTTAGATTTACAACATTGAACAAAAACATCATATCGCCTCCCACCTGACCTCCAACCTGTCTTGTCCCAGTTCCCCTGTTTTACCAAAGCCCTGTTGGTTGATGATTAGTTGGGGGAAAAAAACTAATCAATTCTTGTTGGGGATTACGGGGATTACAATAATCCAAGAACGGGGAATCCCTATAAACATCTATAAACATCTGTAAACCAACCAGGATTTTTTATGCAATGATAGAGGGATGGAAATTCACACTGCTCAAATGATGATGCAGCGATGCATCAGGTATGAAACCATTGTAGCTACTTTGGGATACCTTGGGATTCGCAGCCAGTTTGATGCCGATTCGACTGGTTCAGCAACCTGAAGTAATGAGTATCGTGATCTATCGCGTAATATTGATATTCTGCAACTTCCCAACCATATAGCAATCCCCCAAGGCCCAAAGTTATAAAACTGAAATCTTGCTAAAATAGTGATAAATCACCTCTCTTTGTGGCGCTTACTGTACTGTACAGATGACCAGATTAAAAAGTGGTGCTTCAAATGTGGAGGTTTCCTAAGTCATGGGGGTACCCCATTTCAATCATATTTTCCATTACAAACCAACTATTTGGCAGATTTTCCATTTATGGAACCCCCCTATGTATTTGGATGTATTTCTTATTTCTGACTGCAATTTGCGATAGGTCATCAGCCTCCTTTGCGACAACTTGGCGCGTGGCGACTTGTTCACGAAGGCATTGGTGTCTGCTGTTTGGGCGACGTCCGCGTGGGGATTTGGACTGGGAAGTTGGGAAGGCGACGGCGATCAAGGGCCTGACGAAAGTGGCCGGAATAGGCGTAGGGACGGGACCGGGCCGGTGCGTTCTTATTTGGGTATGGGTCAAAATGTAAGCCGGATGATTTGCGGTTTTGTTTGGGTGAAAGCCGCCAACAATATTTATGGGATTTTATGGGACCATATATATGTTAGTAGATGTTTAGTATTAACCATCTAATGATTGGGGTACCCAATTTTGAGCTATACCCATTTGGGTGGTGCGTAGAGACCTTGAAGTGAACGGAGGATGAAGATCATTTTTCGCTGAAGATAGCTGAAGTCGAAGATCGGAGACATGTTATGTTGAACGCCTTGAAGCGACCAATCTTTGGCTGGGCCTAGGGGGTCCCTTATTGAAATAGCAACCACGTTGACAACCTGACTGTCACCATCCGCCAGCTATTTAGGGTTCTATCCTCCGTTTTGAAGTTTCATATCCCAATATATGGGCTGAAAATAGGGGATGCTCATAAATAGCCCATTTTTTTTTCGAGAACATGACGATAATCCATATTGGGGGTACCCTATTTTCAGGACCAAAAAATCTTGGGCGAATCTCCTCGTTGTTTCGCTGCTACCCGCCATGACGTTGCCGAAATTCGCTGCAGGAAACCCGGAATTCCTGACGACCATGCTCGAGTTGATTGTCCATCGCAAGGCGGCCACGAGGTGCGAATCGGAGGGGCAAACCTGGGGTTCAACAAAAATTATACCAGACGTGTATATATATATATATATATACACATTATGTTATATATCTCTATCATATATATAATATAATATATAATATCATATATAATATATAATATCATATATAATATGAAATATAAAATGTATAATATATAATATATGATATATGATATATAATATATAATATAACATATATAACATATAACATATGATATATAATATCAAACATATAACATATAACATATCATATAAAATATAATATATAATATATAATATATAATATATAATAATATATATATATTATAATGTATATATACATATATATATATATGGAGGTGTCCTAAAATGGGGTTACCCCTAAAATGGTCTAATGACTTGGATGATATGTGGGTAGTTAACATTTTAGATCATTTTAGGAACCTTATGTTACCCTTATATATAGATATACATAATATATATGTTATATTATATTATATTATATAATATAATATAATATTATATTATATTATATTATCTTATTATATTATATTATATTAAATATATATTATATTATATTATATTATATTATAGTATATTCTATTATATTATTATATTATGTTATATTATATTATATCATATTATATCCTGAAGTAGATTGCATATGTTTTTTTGAAGATATTCCCATTTTACTGAGCTATTTATTCTATCTACTCCTGAAATATTCTATCTACTCCAGGATGACTCTAAATGGAGATGATCCCATCCCCTATTGAATATTAGATACCTTCAATAAGGATCTGGAAATGAATATCTTAAACCTGGGTGGGATAATCCACAACATGATGAAGGCCAGGATTGTTTTGGTTCCACCTGTTTATAACATAGATTCAAACCATTTCAAACCAACATTCTTGCTGCTAATTATCAATTCATAGGGTTGGAAACCATGAGGAGACCAGATGCAGGACCCCACTTCAGTGCAGGACCCTCTAAATTTCCGAAAAACTGCTGCAGTCTTCAGCTGCAGGCGTTTTGCTATGGAGTCTCTGCCGCAGGCGCGGGCTGTACAGTCCAGCAGTGGCTGCGGGCTACTTCTGTTGATTGATGATATGGGATTATACCATTCAAATTCATCCAATCTCGTGGAATTATCATGAGTTGTCACAATCCATGATGTGAATCAAATTCGCCAAGCAGTGTAACACGACATGCCGGTTATGTGTCTGGATCCAACCTATCTTGACGAGTTGAACCAGTGTCTTCTACGCCTTTGTTCAGCTGGCGAGATTTGGGTCTTTGGTACTACCCTCTGGCAACCAACAAAACAATACCTATTCAATGTGTGGTGATTTTCCATAGCTATGCCAGCTATTATCAGAGGGTAACTCCCGAAAACCAGTTTTCAGTAGCTGTCTGCTATGAAATATCGATTTTGCGACTTTTCCCGAATGCGTAGCAAGGGTTCCCGTTTCACTCTGGGGGTCTGGGGGTTGAGGGTGTGTTCGCTCGACGTTGCTTCCGCGTCCGCAACCGTTCGCAACCGTTCGCAACCGTTCGCAACCGTCCGTGTGAGGACCGTATGGCCGTGCCTATGGGAAGTTTTGCAGAGGTGGTCCTTTTTGGAGGTTTCAGACGTCTGGTTCGTTTCGCGTGGCAGGCGTGGCACTTTGTGACATTCAGACGTGTTTTGTAACGCGTCGAAAATCGTCTTGTGTGGCAGGTGCAATACTTTTGCGACGTTTCCAAAAGATGTGTTGCAGTTTTCGTGGCAGGCGCAGCACTTTGGACGTGTCCAGTGTCATTTTTCGTGGCAGGCGCAGCACTTTAGACGTGTCGGGTTGCGTGTTTTTCGCCGATCGCATTGGCAGGGCTGCGGCACGTGGCGACAAGGTGCAAATTCCGTGGCAGGCGTGGCATTTCGTGACATGAGCTGAAAATTGACGGAAGCCTCGCACGAAACATTGATTTTGAGGTTGCAGAATTTAGAGGTTCCTAGGAAAACTCGTAGGAAAACGTCGATTTTGAAGCTACAAAGTGTGAAAATTGGAGGAAGTCTCGCACGAAATGCTCGTTTTGGTGCTCCCACGTGTCTCGTCTCGAGTCTCTGGTTTTCCTGTGGCCTCGCCGTGTCTATGGGGGAAGCTTCTCTTTTTGGATCTTTTTGGCATGTTTCCAAGCAGGTTGTTATGTCGTTTTGCGTGGCAGGCGTGGCACTTTGTGACATTCGAACCTGTTTGATAACGTGTCGAAAATGTCAAAATTGGAGGAAGTCTCGTACGAAATGCTGGTTTCTCTGCATCCACGTGTCTCGTCTCGGGTCGCTGGTTTTCCTGTGGCATCGCCGTGTCTATGGGGGAAGCTGCAAAACCTCTCCTTTTCGAAGCTTTCCAACCATGTTGTCATGTCGTTTTGCGTGGCAGGCGTGGCACTTTGTGACATTCCAACGTGTTTGACAACGAGCCGAAAGTGTCTCTGGTTTTCTTGACACGTCGCGGTGTCTATAGGGGAAGCTGCAAAACATCTCCTGTTCGAATGTTTCGAAGCAGGTTGTCATGTCGTTTTGCGTGGCAGGCGTGGCACTTTGTGACATTCCAACCTGTTTGCTAACGTGTCGAACATGTAAAAATTGGAGGAAGTCTCGCACGAAATGCTAATTTTTCTGCATCCACATGTCTTGTCTCGAGTCTCTGGTTTTCCTGTGGCGTCGCCGTGTCTATAGGGGAAGCTCCACACTCCACACTCCACAATTTACACTTTAAACTCCACACTCTACACTCTACACATTACACTCCACACTTTACACTCCTCACTCCTCACTCCACACTTTACACTCTACACTCTACACTCCACACTTTACATTTTACACTCCACACTCTACACTCCACACTCTACACTTTCCAGTCCACACTCCACACTCCACACTCTACACTTTACACTCCACACTTTACACTTTATAATCCACACTCCTCACTCCACACTTTACACTCCACACTTTACACACCACACTCCTCACTTTACACTCCACACTCCACACTTGACACTCTACACTTTCCACTCCACACTCCTCACTCCACACTTTACACTCCTCACTTTACACTCCTCGCTCCATACCCTACACTTCTCAGTTTACACTCCACACTCCACACTCAACACCTTCCACTCCACACACCACACTCCTCACTTTACACTCCGCACTCCACACTTCACACTCTACACTTTCCACTCCGCACTCCACACTTTACACTTTACACACTCCACACTCCTCACTTTCCACTCCACACTCCACACTCCACACTTTACACTCCACACTTTACACTTTACACTCCTCACTCCACGCTCCACACTTTACACTCCTCACCCCACACTCCTCACTTTACACTCCACACTCCACATTCTACACTTTCCACGCCACACTCCACACTCTACACTTTACACTCCACACTTTACAGTCCTCACTCCACACTCCACACTCCACACTCTACACTTTACACTCCACACTCCACACTCCACACTCTACACTTTACACTCCACACTCCACACTGTACACTTTACACTCCTCACTCCACACTCTACACTGTACACTCCACACTCCACACTCTACACTTGACACTTTACAATTTCCACTCTACACTCTGCACTCTACAATTTACAAACTCCACACTCCTCACTCCACACTCCTCACTTTACACTTCACACTCCACGCTTTGCACTTTACACTTCTCACTCCACACTCTGCACTCCACACTCCACACGCTACACTCCACACTGTACACTTTACACTCCGCAGTCCACACTCTTCACTTTACACTCTGCATTCTACACTTTACACACTCTACACTCCCCACTCCACACTTTACACTCCACTTTCCGTACTTTACACTCCACACTCCACACTCTACACTTTCCACTCCACACTGCGGACTAGTAACAGGGGAAACATGAACAAGACTGTTCAAATAAACTATTGCAGAAAAGTGTTGTGCGTGACTGCATATCCATGTGTCTTGACATCTGTACCATTAACACACGTGTGAGCATTCGGGTTCGTGGGCTGAATCTTGTTTTTCTGACCAGCGAACTTTCTGCTTTACGTCTGCTGAAAACTCTCCAGCTGTAGCTGGTTCACTCTGGTCAAATCCCAAGTTTGTTGATGAAATCCCCGTTGTTCGACAAACACAACCCCGAAATTTTGATGACTAAATTATACTTAATCATATGAAATCACACTAACTCCGTGATTTTCGTTCATGAAAATCCCCCCAAAATTACCTGTGGCTTCAGGTTGCCGCCCGCGGAGAGCCACGCGCTGTGGAAGCGGCACTGGTGGCCTTGCTGGATCAAGATGCTCAAGTGAGGCGGGAGATCGCGGGATGGGATAGATGGGATACACATAGAATACAAATAGACATATGTACACATTGCATGTGTATATATACATATATATATATAGTATATAGTATATATAGTATATATAGTATATATAGTATATATAGTATATATAGTATATATAGTATATATAGTATATATAGTATATATAGTATATATAGTATATATAGTATATATAGTATATATAGTATATATAGTATATATAGTGTATATAGTATATATAGTATATATAGTATATATAGTATATATAGTATATATAGTATATATAGTATATATAGTATATATAGTATATATAGTATATATAGTATATATAGTATATATAGTATAAATAGTATATATAGTATATATAGTATATATAGTATATATAGTATATATAGTATATATAGTATATATAGTATATATAGTATATATAGTATATATAGTATATATAGTATATATAGTATATAGTATATAGTATATAGTATATAAGTATATATAGTATATATAGTATATATAGTATATATAGTATATATAGTATATATACATATGGTATATAGTATATATGTATGATGTATATGAATATATGAATGTAAACATAATACTTAAACATATGTTAATATACACACGTCTATGAATATACATTGATTATATATGCACACATATTATGGACATCTTTGTGAATTATGAAAAATAACAATAATCTGATGGGCGTTACTGCTAATTTATATATATATATGTAAATTGAAAGAAATGGATGTTTACTATACCCATTCTTTCATATGCAAAGTTATATCCTTCCCTTCAGGTCAACACACTCTCATTTCACTTGTACTTTGGCTCAAGATGGAGAAAACAGACCCCCCCCCGGTAGGCTGCGTCAAAATTGATTTCCCTTGTGTTTTGGGTAGTTACTGTACAGCCAACTCAAGTATATACACCTATATTTGAAATATAGGCTATTAGCACTTGTGGGGATATGATGAAACACAGAGCCATCAATATGGGATGTTTATATATACTGGCTATAGATATTGTTTAACAACAATAACCCTTGAGTTTAACAAGTAGGATTTAGTCAACAACGAAAAATTGGATTTAATCATGAAACCCCATGGGAATTTGGGCATCAAACATCGGGGATTTTTTTTTGTATCAACAATGGTGGTGAAAATGGGATTCTCTGAATTGGAGGGAAATTTGGTGGTAGACCATGGTAAAAAAACCCTCTCCTGTACCATGAAAAAAAAGGTTTCCTGCAACACTTTCAACCAATTCTCTCCCGTCAGCTAGTCATTTCCATGCTTGAGTGTTTACATGTAATGACATGTAATGTAATTTTGTGATTTTATTGTTTGCAGGGTTAAAAACTGCTGGTTTCAGCACCTAAATTGAAACATATTACCACTTGATACCAAAAGAGGTCTGGATTATCCAAGAAATAGTTTTCAAGACTGGTGGGTTGGCAAAATAGTGTGTTTTCTCTCGAAAAAACACGGGTTTTACCCTAGGGTGACAAAAGGATGTGGAACGCCCATGGTTTCCTTAGGGAAAACATCTAGAAATGGTGGGGTTTTCACACTTTTATGTATATTTTTTCAAGAAGGAACCTTTCAAAGCATGGTTTACTTTTGCTGCAGTTGTCCTGTTTCAGGCAAGCCGCTGCACAAAGCCTCGGCCTTGTGGCCGAGCTTGGGGATCACAAAGTGATCCAGCGGCTCCTGCAGTGTCTTCAGGTCGGTTCCATCAAGGTTTGGGCATCCCCAAGCTCGCTGGTTGGATGGTGAAATGGGGTGAAATTTCAGGAAACCTCCATATAGCTTTGTAGAATTATATAACATAGTTAAAAAAGATCTGAAAACATCTTTTGCATGGTTCCTCTGGTGCAGTAAGTGGATAAAAAAAATCACTTATATAATCCAGAGTTATTGTAGGGATGTGTGATGGTAATGACTGTTAATCATGGCCAATAATGGTGATCAATGGAATTGTCCTGTGGTCTCACATTCAGTGTGCCATGGAAAATCACCGGTTTCTCATGGTGAATCACATCATTTTTAGCGGATGTACCACTTATATAGCCATAGTTGTAGAGTTTTTTTTTACTTGGAATGATCTTCCAAGTACCTGGTGGGATGTTGAGTTTTTTAAATGGATGGAAAGATATTTGATGGTAAAAAAATGTTTTATAATATTATATAATCAATCATGGCTGATAGTGGTGATGGATTTATCCTCTGGTAAACTTTCTTCCATAGCGAACTGGAAGACCACCATTTTTCAATATTTTTCATGGGTACCCTCTGGTAAACTAACATAACTATGGAAAATCACCAGTTTTAATGGGAAAATCCACTATAAATGGTCATTTTCAATAGCTATGTTAAATTACCAGAAGGTAAATCATCTGTACATGGGCCATTTTCCATAGCTGCCATAGCTATGTTTATTGAATCGATGACCCTCCGGCAATCAACCGTGGCTACGATGATCACCACCCATTTTGGTCGATGATTTTCCCAGCAAACGAAACCACCATCCATTTACTTCGGGGATTTTCCAGCCAAGTCCCGATTTTGTCGCCATCATTCTGTTTTAAAAATGGGTGAACTAAGCCCATTTACTAACCACTTACGATCCATAAGTTGATCCTCCCAGCGGGATGCCTTCATGGGATGTAACGGGAATGTTTGGAAACATCAGGGGCTTTCTTAAAGTGGGGGACCCCCTGTTTACCAATGTCCACCATTTTGGAAACCACGCAAAAATGGGGACGCATGAGTTAGTAGGTGAAATGGGTACTGTAAATGGCTTGGATGATGGTTCTTAATGGTTGGTGGGTTAGAGTGTTGACTGAAAAACATTTCAGAGGTGTTCACTGATTGGTGAATGGCAAGCCGGAAAGTTGCAACCACAAAAGAAACAAATTTGGTTCAGATATGTCCTCTCTTGTTGCACACATGCGGGCTACCCTAAGTGGTCATCTTCACTCTATATACTGAATAAACCTGAATTCGCAGCACTGGTCATCCGCACTCTACTGTACTGCGTAAACCAGAATGAATTATCATTGCAGAAAACCACATCCACAAGAATACGGCGAGACTATGTGCTTGGACCCTGTCGAAAGCTGTTTTGTATGGAAGTTGAAGCATGACCGCACATATTTTCGGTGTGTTGAAGGGTCGCGCGCCCACAACTACCTCTGACTGGGATCAAACTGGGCGGCATGCCACTGAATGCCACTTAAATGCAGTGAAAACACCCTGCGAATGTGGTAAGCCACAACCAACCAATCCTCACTTTCCCATTTGGGTTACTTTTTGAACCGTAGATCATTGGCGTTCCTTCCTGTGGTTTTCCCACGTAAATCCATACTACATATTGGAGTCTATTGGACTTGTTCATGTTGCCCATTCAAGGGGCTTGCTTGATATGAGGAATTCACTAGCCAACCAAGTTTAACACCGCAACCAATTTCAGGACCCTCGTTGTAGCCGTTGGACCACTCCCAGCGTGTCACGGTGCCACTGAAATTTCAGGACGATGGTGACAAGATGACGCGTCGCTGTGCGGCTATTTCGCTTGGACAAGTGGTTCTGGAGGAGTGGGGGGTGTCTGAAACTAGGGAATACCCCGAGTTAGGGTTGTTTGAATAGGAAACATGGTGATTCACGAATGGTTTCGGGGGTACTCTATTTTCAGACAAAGCCGAGTGTGTTGATGTGGGATACATTGTTTCAAAAGTGGGGAATGATATAATGATATGAGCGACAAAATACGGGGATATCGCTAGAGTTACAAGGATGAGGATGCTTTTTTTTCTCCCCCTGGAGGTCAGTTGGATCGGGGAAAAAAAGCCAACTCTGGTCTCAAATTCTCATTGGATGCGACTGATTTTTAAAAGGATGTACTTTAATAGGATGGGCGACCCCCATTTTGATCCATTTTTCACAACAAGTGTGTAATTTCATGTGTTTTGCATTGTTTAGGGTCCCAAAACAAAATCGCATGGTTCATCATGTGTTTCCTGAAAATTGCTTCATCAGTTTTCCCTATGGTTTTTCCCCATCATGTGTTTCCCTATGGTTCATCATGGTTTTTCCATCAGTTGGGGGGGTCATCCCCCATTTTCAGCCGAAAAATGCCTGGGCTGACAGGAGGACGCGAAGGCCATGGCTTGACGGACCTCACTGGGACGAGCGGAGAGGGATGGTCGGCCTCGGTTTTGTGCTTCTCAACATTGTCGGATCACCCCAAATCACACATATAATATATATACATAATGATAATAATAATGATAATAATAGTATATAATAATAATAAATAAAAAACAACTAGACGACGGATAACAATATATATATATAATTATATATATACACATAACAATATATATATATATATATATGTGTGTGTATGTATATACATAACAGTGTATATATATACATAGCAATATATATATATATTACATTTTACGTATATATATATATTGTATATGTATGTATCATGATATATTATCATATATATATACACATATTGTTATATAAATACTAATATAGTTTTGATAATAAATCGTTATCTACATACAAGAATGTTATGTATATATATATATCTATACATTATATAATAAATATATAATATTAGTAATAAGATATTAGTAATAATAATAAATAAATAAATAAAAATATATACATATCCATATATGATATAATGCTATATATGATATAATGCTATATATGATATATATATAATATACTATATTTAATATTTGATACAATAGTATATATATATACAATAATATGTATATATCTAAAAATATATATAATACTGTCTATATATAATATATATATATATATTAATATACTATATTTGATATTTGATACAATAGTATATATATATACAATAATATGTATATATTTAATAATATATATAATACTGTCTATATATAATAATATATATATTAATATACTATATTTGATATTTGATACAATAGTATATATATACAATAATATGTATATATTTAATAATATATGTATATATAATACTGTATATATAATAATAATGATAATATATATATATATATGTAATAACATATATATATATATATACACGTATATATAATCATATATATATAATAATCAATACAAGAATATATATATATATATGTATGAACATATGAAATAATATTTATATTTATAGGGGTACATTATTATTTTTTTAATCATCATTTTTTTCTTCATTATCAACATTACTATTATTCTTGTTTTATCATCATTTTTATTATCATCATCATCATTATTTATATATAGGATTATATATATATACACATGATAGTATATATATATATACATGATCATAAATAATATATATATACATATATTTGATAATTCAATCATTTTGATCAACTCTTTGGTCTGGTTTTTTATTGGATCCATGGTAAGTTAGCTGTACCTAACCCATCCAACGCAGGTCTTAGAAGCATTGGAGGCCTCTGCGCGCGAGAGCAGTTTGAGGCGGAGACTTTTCTGTTGGGGGTGAGGTCAGCGAGCATTGAGATGCATGGATGGGTCCATAGCTTGACCAATTAACTAGCTTAACATAGCTTAACCAGATTTCAGGGGGATGAACATCCATCTGCAAGTTAGTTTTGGTGGTGAAAAGAAGGGTGCTGATCGGGTTTTATGCCAACAATCCATCTGAAATTGGAGTATGCCATCGAGTTGAATCAATGCCGTAATCGTCAGGCCAGCAATTGTCAAGCCCCCACCCAGAAATGTGGTTATGCCTGGTGTTTCTGGCCACGCCTTGAGTCTGTCTGAACATGATGTTCGAAAACATGAGACGGAATGGGCTGCGGGCGCCCAATTTTGAGACAAACCCATATTATATTTTTTGTTACTTGTATTATTATTATTAGTATTATTAGTAGTATTATTATTATTATTCTTTATTACTATTATTGTTATTTATTATTATAACAGTTTGACTTCGGGCTAGCGGCTAGCTGTTTCTTCTCAGCCGATTGCTGCCTTGATATGCTGTGGCATGCTGCTTCAGCATTGCAGGCGTGTTGCCTCATCTGTTCGTGATGCGATCCGTTCAAGAGGAAAGCAGGCGCTCAACTAATCCGCGGGCCACAGCTTCTGCAAAGCAGACAGGCTGGATGTCATTTCAGTACATAGTAAACTAGTTATTGATGGCTCAGAACTCAAAACCTGGATGCCATACATGGGGGATATCATCCGGCATATCTGCAACTGCCAAGCATGTTGATATGAAACCAGCGCACCTGGGTTTTGATCCACAGCCTTTTGAAGCCATCGCACCGAAACGGCGGTCGCACCGTTGGCCGGCGGAGCCCACGTGAAACTCTCAGAGTTCTTCACGTCTTGTACAGCTGGGCTCCTATCCATCAACAGTGCCAGCGCGTTTTAAAAGCAGCGTGCATGCCGACATTTGCTAAACTTTGAACTGAATCGATGTCGACATTTGCGAGAATGAGGCATCATCGCATCCAGCACTCCATAGATTTTTCATTCTTGATGCATATTGTTCACCAGAGATTCGCCGAACAAATCTGCAGGAAACACCTGACTCTCGGAAAATGTGATACCCAATATAATTCAGTGAATAATCATTTTCCCATTAAATTGATCTAAAATGGCTGTCTGAGGATTATACCCCATTTTCGGACTCACCGTAACCATGTTTTTTTCCAGTAAATCTTACAGGATATATCCTCCAGATTTGACGCAAAATGCCAGGTTTTGCATGGCCATGTTGTTGATATGCACTCTCACCAACTTCATTAAGCTGCTTGGCCTAAAAAGGTGGGTTGCACAATGCAGATTTGGCTGTGAACATGGTGCATTTTCCCAAACAAATACGGCTATTCACAAAAATTGGGTACACCATTTTCTTAACCAGTGGATCCAGGGTTTCCAAAAAAATTGGACAAACCCATTTAGCATCTGGTTATTTAACAGTTTGCTACGGAAGAGATGGCCCAGCTAGTTCGATGAGATAACGATAAAAAATGGGATTTCCAGAGCAAGCTGTTCAATCACCAGAGGGTATATCAACCAATGCTCCATTCTAATATTCCATGATATTCCAGCCCTTTTTGAACCAGACACCAGCCTAAGCTTCAGAAAACTGGCCGAGGTTTCACATGAAGCTGGTGTTGGAAAATTACACCACCATTGAGAACCTGGAGCGTGAGGTTGGAAGCCTGCCGGAGGTGTAGTGAGGTAGCTCTAGGTACAGCTTCAAGAAAAAGTTGATGAATGATTGAAGATGGATAGTTCATTAACCATAGAATAATGAACACTAGAGTTCATGAACTCACCAACTATCTATGGTTTAATGAATAGTTGATTGAATAGTTCATTAAACCATAGTTGGTGAGTTGGTGGCTCACGGCTCTCGCAGCCGCAGGAGGGTGCAAAAAGTAAATTCGACATTGGGCGCCGCAGGAGACGACGGTTAGTTGTCTTGCTGAAGGGGGACTCACCTGGACCTTGACAGTGGCACTCTGTTGAAGAAGTTATGGTGGATGAGTGGATGGTGTCAGTTTTTGGTGTATATAATGTAGAATTATATGTATAGAATTACATAGACACATAAGTATTATACTTATATACATCACATATATAATATATATGTATTAACTATGTAGAGAATTCTATAGACGATTTGATGAATTTGATGTATTAACTATGTAGAGAATTCTATAGACGATTTGATGAATTTGATGTAGATGTTCAGCCAAGGAAGACGTTTCATGTTGCTTCTTCAAGCCTTCTACCATGTCAGACTCCCATCTCACTGCATGAAAAACGGCCATGGAGGAATTGGGAACAGGTTTTCGGGCAGAACCCATGGATGTCCGCATCTCAGCCTTCTGTGCTGAAGAAACATATCTGCAGACTGGTTGGTAGATGGCTCACTGGCTTGATGAAGGATCTACAGTGCACCAGGGCTTAATGGTGTTCAAGTCCAGGTGTTCATCGCGGTTCCTGCAAAATTGAGCAGTGTTCAACCCCCGTGTTGGTTGATGATTCTTATGGAGGTAGACTAGCCAAAAAAAAGACGAATCCATATTTGGAATCCCATGGAATCAAGGCAGTTTTTTAAGGGACAGCACTTGGGGTTTTGAACACTCAACTTGGGGTTTTGAACACTCAATAGGTTAAGTCATCTTAAATCCCATGCCCATTAAGTTCGCACCATTTCTGGTTGCTTGAATCAATCCCATTAGATCACCTGGTTGTCCATGTTAGTCCCTGGTTAGACAACCATCAGACAACCTGGAGGTGGTGGATTCCTCTCCACACGCAGGTGGGGGAATCACCAGCTATAAGACAATGGAATTTGATGATATTTTATGGTACCATCCGGGTTGGGTTTTGAATGGTTTTGAGCACCATATCCTCCAAATGTCAATGTGTTTCTATGATTGTTCTGGGGCTCGTGACGTGGTCTCTTCTTTTTCGCGGCTTTTCAGCGTTTGGGATGTGTGCAACCTCCATCGAATAGCAGTCATAGTGCTGGCCACAGATATTTGGGAAGCCAAGGGGGTAGCTTACTATCCGACGTGGGGTAGCCTTGCAAGGCCCAATTACCCCTCAAGATCAGTGCTTGGGGTAGCACTCCGGAATTTTCGAGGGTAGCCTCACAGTTTTTGGTGAACTTCCACTCTTGCTTGGTAAAATGTAAATGTAAAACCAGTAGAATCTCAATGTTTCTAAGTGATAGCCACAATATGCCACAATGTTCAGGGCCTCCCCACAGGCTTCAAGGCCCATCGGTGACGGAGTCAGATGGCGAGTGCATTACACCCGAGTCATTGACGAGGCTGGGAGCTGGGCCTTTCGGGGATTCTACGAGATCGTTGCGTCGCTGCGGTTGCGGTCGTTGAAAGGACGAAGAATTGCCAGCGGACGAAGAGGGGATGTCGCAAGCCAGCAGACTCCTCAACCAGGCCTCCAATTTTGGGGTGGTCAGCCATGATTCTATGATTTTTAGGAACGCAATACATCCGAACATGGCCAGTCAATGGAGATTTCTAGCTGGGAACATCAACTGGCTTCAATCAATTTTTCACCATCATTGCTGCAGGGAAATGCGTCCGCCAACCGTTCCGCTGGACGGTAGTGGAGGAGATCCGGCCGGCTGTTAGAGCGATTGCATAGGATCTCTTATCATGACTGGTTGGTGGTTTGGAACACGAATCTTATTTTTCCATATATTTAGAATAATAATCCCAACTGACTTTCATATTTTTCAGAGGGGTTGAAACCACCAACGAGATGATCTATTCATTTTGATAGCGAAAATGATGGGGGGGTCTCAATATTTGGGGGATGACATTCATATTTGGGTGGCAATTTTCATGGGGGAAAAAGAATCCATGGTAATTGCGGGTACTATGGGTACCGCAATTTCACGCACAGACCTTTGGTTGTCGGTTGTGTGTAAGGCTTATGCCTTACGGGCCTCGGCCTCAAAGCACCCTGAGGAGCCTTTCTGGTGAGTTGCCAAAAGTTCGTATCCCATCGGTTCACAATCTGAGTCTAACAAGGGACTCGATAATTATTCAGGATTTGCATGTGCGCCGGCGGCCTAGGCCGCCCGCGATGACAAAGTATGACCACTGAATAGAGGGTGGTTTTGGGAAGTTTCGCCCACTACAGATTCTGATGCTGTCGCAGTGTTGCGCAATTGTGATTTGTCATTTCCTGTGGTTTCCTTCCCATCTAGTACTGCAATCAGGGTGGTTGATCCAGGCTCCTTGTTATTCGTGCGACAGAACTAGCTCAAGGCGCTAGGTAGAAGAGCGACGAAGCGTTGCAGTCTCAAATGCCGGTCCACCTTCCTAGCCGTTCTTAGCTGACATGAATTGGTTCAGGAACTGCACACGCTTCTTGCACATTAGCAGCAATGGAACATTGGCTGCTGGTTTAACAAACATGAAGATCTTAAGGCCTCAAAAATAAGACCCAAAAAATCATCAAGGGGGCACATCACAGGCATTACAGTAACAGATATTATCAGGCCTAACAGCCTAACCCCGAGTGAAGCAAAAAAGAAAAGCCGAAATCCATTGACGTCTCACCACTTCGGCTCTCAGCTCAACCTCGGGATGTGAGTTCTTCACCTTTCGTCCCAGGGGGCAACGCAAGGGTCTCTATTGGTACCCCGCTATGATGGCATGAAAAAAGCACGCGAAGCGCTGCGGCAACTCTGCAACTCTTCAACCAACCCAAAAACACTTCAAAGATCTTCAACGTATTTCAAAGTGAGAATAGAAATAGTAGACGGATATGGCTCAAAATCATGCACTGACAGAATTGGACGACCTTGTGGTAAAACTGGCAAAATTTGTGGTTCCGTTGAGACCGCGTTGTTGAGACATGAGCCAAATTCAATCTTGATGCCTTTTGAAGAGTCTGTGTGACTCTCTCCATTCGTTTGTGCTCGTTGTTGCCCAATCAATTTGCACACAGAGGCCAAAGAAATCTAGGAGTCTGTAGGGGCCCTCACGTTGACCTAGATCATCCTAGGCCACTGTTCCAACATGTACATGGTGACATTGGTCAGCGGCACACAAGTCACGACGAACAGAGACAATGTCGTCAACCACCACAGTCCAAGATGTTTAGCCATGCGAAATATTTACAAATCAGCCTCCGCTGTAAGCACATGTAAGCACTGCAAAAGTCAACGAATTCATGCGGTCAAGATGTCTTGACTTGGAATTCAATGCCCACTTCACAGGCGGCGACGGCGCTTGGATGACCCGCTTGGATGCACACGTTGCACACATTTCGCGGGAAAGTTCCCCATTTCTATCAGGGTACTGTATCCATGTACTGTACCCTCAGGCATGGCGATGGACAATCCACTCATATCACCCCAATCTTAGATCAGGTATTAGCATGTATTAGCATTTAAGCGCTCATTTGCAGTGGATTTCCCATTGCAAAGTTTAATCACAGGAGGGCAATTATTCTATAGTCTATTGTATTTATATTTTATAATTATATAATATTATATATATAGTTATATTGATATTGATGATTTCATAGTCAAAATATGGCTTTCCATTGCTGACCATGCTGATTTTTGCTTACCTGAGGATGGTCCAAACAAAAGCCACAAGATGTTTGGATGCTTTGCATGGTGAGGTTCCCCATTTGAAACCCTGCTATTGGTTTGTCTCAAAAATAGGGTGCCCCAAAATCTCCTGGTTACTGCAAGAATCACTCTTCTCATATATTTCCATTAAAATGGCAAAGTCACATCGCCATCCACCATTTTCACACACACACACACACTCAAATATCATATCATATATATATAGTATTACATATATACATCCCATTATACCCCATGATACCCAGTTACCCCATGTTACCCCCGAGCCCCAAATGTCCCACATTTTGTTAATAGCCCATGAATACCCTCTGGGTAAATGCGACCTCACTGGCATGATGGTTAGTAGCGGTAACTATCCCAAAATAGCCTTATTTATCTTATTTCAGGTCAGTGAATTCTAGCATTTACCCAGCCCATCCCAGAGCCATGTTTGTTACATGAAACATCCAATGGCTGCAGGCCTTTTCTTCGGGTCGAGCGGCCGGCGCGATGGGTCCGTCTCCGCATGTGCCACTCTCACAGAAGGCCAGTGAACGACATCGAAGCCGTCGGCAGCCACCGGCAGTTTCTGAAGGTTACCATCTGGCTATTTAACATAGCCATGGAAAATCCCTTATCAATGGAGGTTTCTAGCTGGGAAAATAATCTATTTCTATGGGCCACCTATACCATGGCTATGTTAAATAACCAGAGGGTAGAATCAGCCACAATGGATACGAATGGACTCACTTGATGTAAATTGATGCAAGTTGTGGATACTTTGTGGATAGTATTAGGATGTCATGGCAAGGACCCGCAAATGCCAATCTTTTTAGTTCCCAACTGCGGTTATCCAGTCCACTATGATCCAACACGGATATATATGGCTATGGATCAATACCTATTAATACCATTTTTAGTGGGATGAACATCCATTTACCAGCTATTTTGATGTGAACTACAGGGGTACCAGGGTTTTGACCCATCCCCATATATATATATACACATTGGTATATACATGATATTATGATACAACAGCTGCTTCAGTTCACCGATTCACCATTTCTGGTTTTTCGAGGCCATGGGGCAAATTCAGCGCAATGCACAATCTCCATTGAGGACTTGGCGGGCTTTTCCGAAGGGAAACTTCATCGAGAAACGAAACCAACTGCCATAGATTCCAATATTTCAAGGCATGTAAATGCATATGATATGATATAGATTCCAATATTTCAAGGCATGTAAATCCATATGATATGATAATATTATGATAATATATGATACAGTAAATGATGAATGTTTACCAACCATCCCCAACTTTTTAAGGTTTATGAATCTTTATGACATTGGCTATAGATTTAATATGGGCGGATGATTCGTAGCAAATTCCAGGGCTACTTGGATGGCGAAAAAAAGTGTGCCAGGAGTCCGCCTGGACCTTGGCACAGTAACGCCAAGCGGTCCCGCAGTTCGTTGCATCGTTCATTGGGATTTTAATGGGAGGTTTATTGGGAAATTCATCTACAAATGCTGATTTAAGGGGAATATCATGGGATATTACTATATATTACCTAACAATATGATATTTTGGGTCTGAAAATGGAGTGTAGCACCAAATATTTCATGGGGATAGGGATGATTCACCAATGTATTTCATGGGGTACCAAGATGATATGTATTGACGTGCCATTTTCGTTGGTGATTTTCCTCCACCCCTGCATTTTTTTGGGGTCACACCATTTTTTTTGTTGGAGAGACATTTCGTAGTTGTAGGTATATACACATATTACACATGCTGGCATGTATGGAGATCCCCAGGGTTGCGTCACATCCTGCCGGCTACACCGGCTACACCGGGCCGGGCATTGAGGCAAAGGCTGCAAGCGCATGATTCCAGTGCTCGCAGCAGCATATCTCCAGGGCGCAAAGAGGCGAAATACGTTTATCAATGGATATATGATAGGTGGGATACCAAGGGAACCCAATGGATTCCAATGGATACAATCCCTTCCCCTAAGAAATTATGGTGATGTAGGGGATTTGCACATCGTTGGGACATGTTGGGACCATGACATTGGTGACGGGAATACCGATCAACCAACCACAATATGGGTGTAATGGAAATATCATGGGAAACGGTGACGTTAACCTGTTTTTAGATTTAGCTGGGATGCGAGTCTCGATGCGAACGTAGGATGATTTTCCTTCCAAACATCATCCATAGAATTCCATGACTCGGTTTGTTTGTCTGGGATAAATTACGGTATAGGCACTGTACTTGTACTGTACCCAATTCCCTAAGATTCCCATGGTCTATCATCGTTGTTCATTTCCAAAATGGGCTATTTTGGGGCATACCCTCTGGTAATTCAACATAGCTATGGTATCATACTATGGAAACTGGATGAAAATGGCTGCTTTATAGTTGTTAGTTGATTTACCTATAGAAAATGGTGATTTTCCCGTAGTTATGTAAACGTTTACCAGAGGGTATCCCATTTTCATCCAGTGTCAGAGAAACCATCCAGAAATTTTCCGACAGCGAGTTGACCCAACTTGGACATCTGGGATATTTCATGCGGATAGAAACCGCTGCAGCAAAATAATGATATGATAATGGGAAACAATTGGATATATGTCGTAATTGATATTTGGATATGTTGAAATCACCTATATAATTGGATATATAATTAATTGAGTTTTAATTGAGCAACAACATGATATTTGATGAGTTCCACCGCCAGCCTTTGCAAGCACAGTGTTTGGTTGGAACGTTTGCAGGATTTCATGACTGACCTTCAGGCATTTAAGAACAGATGGTCGTATAGCTGGAAATTGCCCTCTGGGAGTTTCAGATAGATAGCCTCTGGTAAACGTTTACCTAACTATGGAAAATCACCATGCTATCAATGGGTAAATCCACTTTTTTCAATGGGCCATGGCTTCAATAGCTTTTCGTAAACGTTTACCAGAGGGTACCCTCTGGTAATTTAACATAGCTATTGAAAATGGCCATT